TTTACATTAAAAATGACTATGTGACGAATGATTTTATTTTATTATCATAAATTTTCCACTGCCTTATATTTCCCAGCTCATTCGCTGGGTATTTGGTATATATGCGGAACTGTTCCTCCCTGTTAACTATTAAACCAAGGGGTTTGTAGTGAACGACTAGCCATAACATTCAAAAGGTTTATTTAGCTCATATAATGGTGGGTTTTTACAATTACACTGTTACACAGATTTCTAATGTAGATCTCAGACTTTATACAGAAACCATATGATTATGAATTAGAATGATATGTGACGAACGCTACATGTCGAGCAGGATACATACACTTCATGTATATGATATATCTATCTTTTACTGATTTGATTTGAAAATGGATGTTTAATTGGTAAATGTAAATACAACATTTGTTGTTTATAAGAAGGTTAATTCAGACTGTGTTACATGGAAAACTTGACAAAAGTTACTATAGTCGGAATGATTGTGCAATTGATGAGATACGGGGAGATTACCATCAAAATATCAGTCCAATATCATCATAGGACTAGGCTTGCTTTAATCAGAAAGCGAATAGGTTGGTGTACCAACGAGGGAAGTTATGATTCTTATTTGAACTGGAACCAACCACAGAAGGAGAAAGCAGATAGTTTACATTTAACTGTGAACCAACCAATCACGAGGAGACACAGTGAGTGGAGAAGGCAAGTTTTGCTGTAGAAGTCAATTTACTGTAAGTAATTTACTGGCAAAAAGTCACGGCCAGATTACAAGTCTCATTGTGGGTGTACATTAATAAATAATTGAGGTTACTGAAATAAGTGTGGCAAAGCGATCTCATATGAAACTATTGTTGCAAGAATAGATAAGCATGTTAGACCAGATGGACCCAGTTTCCAAAAGTATGCTGGCAAGGTACATGTAGTACTCCAATGGAACCATTCCTGAGAAAGAAATTGAAAATTGAAACTTATGCAGGAGTCCAAAGTCACTGGACCATGCAGTGAGGGTAGCATTGGTGACACATATCAGGAAGGTGATATGCATGGATATGATGGATAGAGTATTTGGAAATGACAGACGAGGATAGCTGAATTCTCGCTTTGATGCTAACCAGAGGCGTAGAATGTCTGGTGACTGTTATATATGTGCAGGTAGAGGCCATTGTGCACATGGTTTTAGTAGCTTAACAAAGTGGATATCTGATAGAAACAATGGCAACACATCTCATTTCCAGATGCTGGAAAGGAGAATGGTCAGACTGAAGTGGAAGCTACCTGATGAACAAGTTTGGTGGACATTGTATAGACATAGATATTTTAGTAGCTGGCATGCCGTCAGATGGTATTATTAGTATGGATGCTTTAATTGGTATTGGGAAGTGTTTTGACATTCATGGACTGATGTTGAAGTTTATAGATGAATAAGTACCACTATGTGACTGGAATTAACATGTATTGACTATTCTGCTACATTCCCAGAACTCTCATGAGCGTGAATGAATTGGCATCTCAGGGAATTGCAGTGGTATTTAACTAGATTACATATACAGTTAAAACTATTTTGGTTTGGTTGATGAATATCAGACAAAATCTGATATGGTTGGACACTGGTATCAAAATGGGAAGAAAGAAGATAAATAAGCAGATAGAAAACAAAGATGGCACAGGAAGTCTAAGAAGGTGACAGCCATGAAGAAAAAGGCACAGAAGCAAGTTCAATTGACCACTACAAGAATATATTCTTAGCAGGTGTACATGACAACAGACATACTGGTAAAACACAGTATTCACACAAGGAACACTTTCCTATAAGTCAGCAATCTAGATGTGTGTCAATTCGGCAGAGAAGCAGAAATGCTTAGGATTGGGATCCTACAACCTTCATCATAACTCTGGGCTTCACCAGTATTTCTTGTCTGGAGGGTGACCCAATAGTTACCATGAAGGATGCATACCCAATATCTAATACCATGAATTAATGAGTCTCTAGACCTGTCTGAAGGATCCTGGTTCTTAACATTGGATGTTGCATCCAGGTATTGACAGGTGTAACTTGATGAATATGCCAAAGAGAAGTGATGTGCAGCAGGCTGTACAGCTGGAATATCATATCGTTTGGATTAATCATTGCACCTTATATATAACAATGAGGAACATGATGGCTGGAATCCAGTGGAAAACATTGGTGTTTTATCTGTACAACGTAATGTTAAGAAGTACATAAAAGAAAGATACACACACATACAGATACATACACCATGGAGTCTTTGTTTGTTTGAGAAGCACAAGGTTAAAACTGAAGCCAAAGCGTTTTCTGTTCAGCAAGAAAGTCGATATCTGGGACATACAGTGAGACAAGATAGCCCTGAGACTGATCCTGAAGCAAAGGCTGCTAAATAAATTATACCCCTAGGACTGAGATGCAAGTAAGATGTGTGGGTCTGTGCTTCAGATACTGAAGGAGTGCTTGTCAACATGCGTGGAATGGCATTTGGCCAGCGAGTGCCTCGAGACAGACATCACAACTGGTCATATACCACGAGTTGTTCAGGGAAACTCGATAGTAGATGATGTATAGTACAAAATCAGTTCAGAAGAGATCTGCTGAAAAACAAGATGTCTAAAGATGGGTAAACAGAAGGCTACATTA